TGAATAATATATATTGGATACATGTTTATATGTATGTATGTATGTATGTATGTATGTATGTATGTATACATATATGTAGATATATGTATATGTTTTTCAGCCGACGAGTTCCAGCTTCAGAGATTCAGCAGCTGAGATTGAGTCCGAAATCCGATGCGAGATTCATCCGTGCTGCAGTGAATCCGTCTCTCTTTAAAGATATCTCCCGCTTCTTACTCACATCGTGTCTTTAGGAAACTTTCAAAACAAAAACGGAAGATTTAGGATGTATCTTACTTTTAAAGAGTGAAAGAATATAAATAATAGTCTTTACCACCTGTGTAAACTTTGAATGTTATAACACATAATATAAGTTTTATAATATGTGTTATATTGTTTCATTTCTAATATAGGCCGCTGTGCCAGATAATCTAAGTCAATGTTAGAGAATAATTAATTTTTTTAGATTTACGGAATCTCAATTAGCCTTCATAACGGGGCTGAACCCGTATTACACCAAGCACTGTAGCTAATATTAGCTGGTATCTCACCTATGGACATAAATACAGTAAAGTAATATTCTAATCACAATATATACACAATAATATGTCCATCTTACTTGTGAAATGTTGTCTGTGGAGCCCTCGCATCATTAGTCCATCGATCCGAACAACAATATCCCTCAGTGCTGAGGCATCTTCTGCTGTTTTGATTGAGCAAAGTAGAGAGTTTCCCGCTCCAAGATGGCCGCCGTATTTCCTGCGCCAGAGCGGCCAATGCGGGGTCTACTCTTATATTATGTCTATGCTGCTGCTCCCCTGATCTCCCGCCCACATGACAGATCTATCACATGTGAGCGGGAGTCAGCAGGGCCAGACAGGGGAACGCCATAACTTTATACACACAACAATAAAGATCACAATGTAACATACAACAAATACACATAACCATATGGGCACCAGCAAAACCAAAACACAGAATCGTTACAATATATATAACAACACCAACAAACAAATTTAGACACTCACCAGAATGGAAATGTCTGGAGCAAACTTGAAGGTATCTGGGGATGTTGGGGAACGTAATGTCACAACGTCTCACCGCTGATACACAGGGCATTCGTCTCCTTCTCGTTAGCTCCGTTAGCTTAACCTCCTCGCGTTATTTCCAAGCCGGAAAATAGTGAAACGAATTTCCGTTTTCCAGCTTTTTACCGTTTCAGTCGTGTGATCGGACATTACATCAAATAACGCAGCAAGTTCGTACCATAGCTAAATTATTTTAAGTAACTTGGATACAAAAAATCTGCGAGAATGTTGTTTTAATCGGTTATGTTTATGGCCCCGAAAAATGGCGCTGATATCCTTCCGTCTACAGCAGTGACGTCACGTTCCAAAGCTCTTTAAACACTGAGCAGTACAGAACACCAGGAATAGTATACAGTTTAGTTTAGCCATGACACTCCTTTATGATTCATTGTTGTGCAAAAAATATTTGTTTATTCTGTCTGTTTTACCTAAAGCAACAACAACAAAAAGCATTACATTTTTGTAGCAATTTCTTTAAGAAATGTACAACTCATAGCTACACAATTGTAAATAAATCATGCAACTTGTTGACAGTTTGCAACACTTACAATAACTCCCACAGCCAAGACAACCAGAAAGTAGATGACGATAACAGAGATGTCTGCTGCATTGTTGATACGGGTGGTGGGAGATTGACTCCTTTGGTTTTCCAAGGTGCGGGAGAATCCAAAATAATCCCAGGCCATTTTGCTCAGAGTGGAAGTGTTGGATAGGAAGGCTGAAGCAATGAGTCCACTGTGACTGAAGCACACTCTCAACACTTACCTTTATATCTTCTGTTTGTGTGTGGGACAGAAAGAGGGAGGGGAGAGGGTTGGTTAATAGTGTATGTGGAGAAAGAGAGAAAAGAAAGAGAAAAAAAATCTTCCAGCTGATCAGCATAATGAAATGCTAAATGTTACATTTAAATTGCTGTTTTACTTTAATTAAAAGTATTGAGACTTTTAATACTTACTTTAATACATTTAATAAGTAAAACAGCAATTCAAACATTTGTCTGGTTTTATATAATGAGAATAAATTGAATATCACCATTTTATTTGATCAATCTGTAAATAATTACAATTTGAAAATTTTCTAAAATGCAGGTTCTCATCAACAGACATTATGGTTATTAAATGGCCATTATGATCCTCATCTTTTTACAGACAATGCGAAGACATGTAAACCAATTCTATGGGACTGTCTCAAAGCCTTGACATATAAAATGAAGTGTTTGTGGAACTCATGACAAAAGCTATTAAATCCTGTGCTTCTTGTAGGCATCCTCTCTTGTAAAACTTGTTTTGCTCCCTCTTTGTTCAAAGTTGTTTTATTGTTTTATTAAAAGAATGTTATCTGAACTGTAAAAAAATCAAAGGATATATCAGAATAATCTTATCAACTTCTTTGTCTGTTATTCTTGGTATATTTAATCATCAACTAATGTGCGTTTCGAACTGCTTTTCAGGTTCTTGTCTAGCTTTTTAGTTTTATTTTCTAATAACAATAAAGAATTACTCCAGATTTATCCACAGACTCCAATACTTCACTGTTAGTTGACTTTTTAAGATTACGCTGGATTTTAATTTTGCTATATATGGTACAAATAAATAATTATGCATGACATATTTTTCAGATTTTTCTGATCCATATATGTTTTTCCTTTCACTTTCAGAGTTTTACATAACTTTGTGTTGGTCCATCACATAAAATCTCAATGAAATACCAGGATATTTGTTGTAGAATAATGAAATGTTGAAAACGGAAGTACAATTTATACCAACAAAGTACTATCTTAAAGTTCTGGGACCATTCTGAATTCTTATCAGAATGACATATATGTTTTACAAATTGGTCCAAGTCATGGTTCAGTTGTTAAGTGCTTGTGTTATTTGCTCAGATTAGCTCTTATGAGAGGTTTTAGTGACTGTGGCCTCAGACGTAGAGGGACAGCATGCAGTAAATAATTTAATGTAACATGTTTCAGGTGTAGGGATGGTCAAAGTTCCCTGAAGAACCCGAAATAAAGGAGGAATGAGCCAAAGTTTTTGTGTGTCTCATCTTTTTATCAGCCAAGAAAAAAAAAAAAAGCTTTTTAAGCAAATAAAGAACTTGAGCATGGTTTTGTTTGTTCTTTGTATTTCACTTAAAGGCCTAACTCAACTTGTCATTGCGATTGTTAGTTGTGTATGCAAACTCTGGAATGGGGAACTCTCAGCCTCTTAAATATTAGCAATAGGCTATCTCATCTGGAAAACAAGACAAGTGTGAAACATAATTCGTTGCCAGATCTTAGTTTAGGCCCAGGGCTGCTTGGTGGTGCACCTTTTGTTGTCACTGTGCTTTGAAGCAAGAAGGTCCTGGCTTTGAATCCTGACCATGTTCTCCCTGTGCATGCCCGTTTTCACTCCAGCTTCCTTCCACTGTCCAAAAATACGTACGTTAATCTTATTTCCCTTATAATTGAATGTGCAAGATGCGAGTTGATTTAGCCCAAATAGGTATGGACTACACATGGATAGTTTAATTTTAAAATTGTTTTAGTAGGCCGACAGGAATCAAGCTGGAGATAAAATTTGTTAAATATATATAAAGATTAAAGGTTGTCTAGTTAAATTATAGTATTTCTCTCCTTCTTATGCAGTGACCAGAGTAGTATAGTTTGGCTGATCTCCCTAAATTAGGCAATGTAAATAATCCGCTGTGTCAATCTCAATGTCAATGTTATTTATAAAGCACTTTAAAAACAGATGTTGACTGTACCAAAGTGCTGTTCAGTATTCATAAAACACATATAAAATACATAAGAATAAAACACAAATTAAAACAGGCAAGGCAAGTAAATTACAATGTCAGGTCTTATGGAAAAGCTAAAGAATAAAACTGAGTTTTAACAAGTGATTTAATGTGTTCCACACTGTGTGCAGATCTAATGTTAAAAGGCAAATTGTTCTACAAATTAGGAGCAGTGACTGTGGATGCCCGGTCTTCTCTACTTTTCAGTCTGGTTCTAGGAATATGTAAGAGAAATGTATTATTTGACCAAAGTGTTCTAGAGATGGTTATGAAGAAGGTCTTGAAGGAAAGCTGGATATAGGCCATGTAAAGCCTTAAAAAGCAATAAAATAATTTTAAAATCAATCTGATAAGGAACTGGAAGCCAATTCAGAGAAGTCAATACTGGTGTTATCTGCTCTTGTTTCCGGGTTCCAGCTAAATGTCATTGTGAATCATTTGGAGACGCTGTATAGAAGACTGGTCCATATATTATGATTGCTGTGATTGCAATCATAACACAATCTCAGGGCAGAATTTATTTCAGAGACTAAATGGTTTTCATTCCTAAAGCCACTGATGTCAAGTCGAGTGGAGAATAAAGTGTCAACTAGTGACAATGGCTGTCAAACTCGAGATGAAATCCATTGGTTTGCAAAGTACGAATACCTTAGTTAAGCATTATCTTGTAGAAGATTATATATTATAGACTTGAGCAATATATTTGAGGAATAAAGATGAAAACTAAACAATTTAATCACTTGTACTTTGCAAATTTCTACTCAGCCTCCACTAAGTACATGCTGCAGCAATCACGGTCAGCACGTCCAGAAAAGAGGTGTAATGTTTATCTATTTTCCTGCCAAATTTTTGTTGTTTCATCTCAAACACAAAAAACTGAAGCTTAAAATGTACTAGATTATAAAATTATTACAGGTATATAGGGGAAATATACTATAATTATTCATAACTAGTAAAATGACATTGGTCAGTGCGTCATTTGCGCTGTTGTGGACATAGGCGTAAATCCCGTGGAGGGGAGGGGGGACCCTTCAATCTTGGAAAAGTCTAGAATTGTCGCCCCCAAAGAAATCATTGAAGAAACGTTTGCATTTAAATAATATCAACATGAAAAGGCAAAAGAAACAAAGAACGAACTAAATCAGTCATTTATGTCAGCAAAAAGTAAGAATTAAATTGCTGGTCCCCCCCTACCATTGTTAGAACAATGGTTCAGTCCAAAGTGTAGGAGGAGCAACAGCAGCGCTGAACGGCACAGGCTCCGTTAGAGCTGCTGAAGTGAGGAGTTAGCTGTTAGCTGTGGTTCTACATCACAAATAAAAACCCTCCAGTAAGTAATACTTAAAACAATACACATATAAACATTTTATTTACCTTGACTGCTCATTAAGACGAAACACATTAACAATAAAAATCAGGCTGCAGTTTGTTAATTTCTTACTTTGGCTGAATCATGATGAGCTACCTCATTAGCTAAACAGCTTTCATAGACTTAAGCTTTTTTGTGTTGTTTTTTCAAAATTCCTTTGATTCAGCCAGATTAGAGGATTTTTTTTAGCATAAAAATCTTTATTAAGGTGAAGCCACTGTGTTCCAGTGGGTTATAAGCTTGGAGTTTGATTAGGCCACTCCAAAACTCTCTTTTCAGCTTTCATAAATTTTTTTAAATTAACACATTGCTTTGCTTTAACGTGATCACCTTCAACCAGAAATCCCAAGTACACTGCAGAAAAACATTTTTATTTGACATTTTCTTTACAAATCAATAAACACCAACATGGATAACAGTCAAAAAAAAGTTAGCCCCTTTCCAACTCCCCCGGCCTCCCACCAAACACGTGCATTAAAGTGTAAATGTAAGAAGCAGTTGTATACATGGCCTTTGAACACATCACTGAGAAAATCCTGATAAAGAAGAAAGAGGCTTATCGTCAATAGATTTCCAGTGAATTTATAACCATTTATGTTGCTGATAAGCCAAGTTAATAAGTGCAGCTCAACATAATTATCTTAACATGTGAAATTATCAAAATTATATTGTACCTTCAGTTGACAAAATATCCATGCTTACTGTACTGGATTCAAGCTTTTACAAAACATTTTTTTACTTAGCTTGTTTTTATTTTCTTTCTTTTGCGCTTGGTCTTCTCGGTATTTTTGTGAACTTATCTTGTAGAAAGCCAAAGTATAAGCTATTCTATTCTATCTAAATACATAAAGATAGAAAATTGTGCACTTGTTTTGGATGAAATCATATTTCACAGAAAGAAATACTGAGTAACCAGTTAAATTTAGTAATAAGTTTGAAGGTTAAAATCTACTGGCATTTTGGCCATCAGTCATGTACACGTTCCACCTTGTGACTTATTCATAAATTAAGTTATCCAGAAATAAGTGATGCTCCATTTGTCTAACCAAAGTATCCGTGTAAAAACACACAAACACAAAGGAGAATGATTGCGTTTGTGTTGACAACCTTTCTCCAAAAAGGGTCCTCTGTTGTGTCAGTGAGCTTCTTCTTCAGCTCTGCTTCCTGCTCTGGAGTTAGTTTCACAGCTTTCTTCTGCTCCAATCCACAAAAACACATGAGTGCTTTCTTACAGAAGCCAGGTTCCTCCTCAGGCTCTGCAAATCATGGAAGATTTTATTTTAAACTTTTAATAAAACTTCAAAAAGTAATAGAAAGCAAATAAAAGAACCCTCCTAATTTAAGTACTGTAAATATGCCACTTCGAAGCTCCTGTTACATGCTTATTACCTTCTACTTCCATTTCATCCTCCTCATAATTAGTCCAGTCATCTGTTTCAATTTCCACTCTCTCCTCTGTACTGTTTCTCAAGCTCCAACACAATCTATGCAGCTAGTAAAGAAACACAACATACTAAAAATGATTGTCAATTTAGAAATAAATGTGTGATAATCATAGAACAAAGCCTAAATTTCTATTTTTGAG